AGCGTTGCTTCATCTGACAGTTATCACAGAGCACAGCGGTGGTGCCTCAGCCCTCTAACACACCTGTATGTGCCTTTCAGGGGACAGAAAGGTGGACCAGTAAATCCAGCCTCCTTCAAGTACTCATCTCCATCCAAGGTAAATGCTCCTGCAGAGCTTGGACAGGAAAAGGTGGGTGGAGGAGGGGATGCAGGTTTGTGGAGGGGCAAGGGGGGCACGCAAATGGGATCTGCCAGCCCAGCTGGGTTAGTGCTGCTTTTTGCTCTCACCTTGCTGGACACGGCAGTGTCCTTATCTGTCCAGTTCAGCAGTCGAAGCAGGTGGAAGCTTTCCTCATTTTTGGCTGCAGCCCAGGTCTCTGACACAATGCTTTCCTTTCTTCTCACGGCAGCAGTGAAGCACAGAGCTCCTTTGCTTGTTACTCTGAGCTGACAAAGGTGAGCCACCTTGTCCTCAGCCGGTTTCCAAAGTCAGTTGAAGTTGCTAAACTGGGCTTCCTTTGCAGGACTGTTTTTTATCCCCGCTGAGTCACCCGCCCGCCCTACACTGGGCATATTTTTGCACACGATGCCGGTGTTTATGCTGCTCCTGAAGCAGAGAGTAATCAGGGGTGTGTCCAGACCAGCCCTAGGGCTTCCTGCCGTAGGGCTTTGCCCTACTGTATCTAGTTTAAGAGCAGACGGGCTAAATCAAAACTCTTCCTCAAGGACAGCTTGCTGTGCGGGGAGCCCAGGCACGTGGCTCGCAGAAACCCTTGACACCGAGCAAAGGCTCCTGCCTGGAGCCAGCAGCAGCTCCTGCTCCTCGGGAGTCTCATGGTCCACCTGTACCCTGCTGGGGGAGAACGACACCACGATAAAAGCTTTTTCTCATTTACGAAGCTGAGGATCTGAATTTAACTAAATGTTTTACTGGAGCGACTTGGTGCTGCTGCAAAATCTCATCTGCCCCTTCCCGCTGCCTGGGCTTTGAGAGCCTCATGATCTCGCCTCCACCCGCTGTACTGCGGTTTGTGGCAGGCTGCCGGCAGGGCAGTGTTGGTGCCATTGCTACATGCATGAACTCAGGTTAGACCAGAAGCAAGCGGGAGAAGGCTTGGTGTGGGAGACAGTATTCACTCTCCGAGAACTGCTCTGTCTGATGGGACTGTGCTGCGTAAGACAGGACCTGGCCGACTCAGAGGCTGTTACCTTTGTTCTGGTTAAGAGGAGGAGGAAAACAAAAATATTTGAGGAAAAAAACCTTGAGTGTGTTAGTGGATTATTTTGCTAGGAGGTAAGGGAGCTGTGAAACCCTTCCCATCCTGCCCTTTTGACCTCCTCTGCTGTCGTGTGCACTCTGCATCGCCCTGGCGGATCCCAGCCAGGATCTTTAATGCCACTCTGGCATCCGAGATCCCCAGCACCACGGCAGGAGGCCACAGACCCGTCCACACGACTGCTCCCCTTGCAATACCAGCCCGTTGCATCTTGGAGAGGTTCCTGGTGGTCCAGCCTGGCCTCTACTCTTGAAGACAGAGAAGCTGGCGTGATGCCTCAGCAGGGTGGTGCTGTGACCTTGAATCTCGACAGCCTTGGCAGAAATCAGGGCCCAGCAGCGTCTGACAGTGGTTGGGGGTAAAGTTCCTCCCTTAACTCCCTGGCCTCCCCTTCTCTTGGCAGGTCTCATCCTGGTGAATGAGCCCTACTACAATGAGGCGGGCTTTGACAGCGACCGGGGTCTCCAGGAGGGCTACGAAAACAGTCGCTGCTACAACGAGATGACGCTGATCCGGGTGGTGCAGTCCATGATGCAGCTGCTGCGCAGGCCGGTCGAAGTCTTC